GCCTTAGCCACTTTAGCCACAGGCGCCGAGCCGAGTCTACATTTTTCATTACAAGATTCAAAGACCAACTTTTTTTTTTTTGCAGTTTTGGCTATTTTTTGGTTGCAACCGTCATTGTTGTTTGGCGGGCCCAGGCTGGATTCGAACCCGCCACCTTAGGTGTATGTGGCTGGAGCCTTAGCCACTTGAGCCACAGGCGCCAAGCTGAGCCAAGGAGATTTCTAAGCAGAGTTGAAGGAGCAGCTGGCCCTTCCTGACTGCTTCTAGCAAACTGCAAAAGGAAAGAGAGGGCTTGAAGAAAGGATCGTTAAGCAAAAAGGAACTGGAACTTGAAGATCTGGAAATTTCTCAGCCTAACCATATGGCAGAAAGTGAGGAGACCCATCCAGACCGCCAGAAATGAACACCAAGGGTGTGGCAGGAGCATCGCTTGCTAAAACACACAGGATCACAGGAGGAGCCAGTCTGCACTGACAGGGACAGAGACAGGGCAAGGCGAAGGCGTGTCAGACTCGGACGGAGCGCTCTGGCTGGGAGTGTGCACTAATCTTCAAGAGGGAAAAATGGCCCAGAAGGCAACTTGGAGATTATTAGGACCGCTGCCTTGGTTCCAACAGCTAGACAGGGGCAACAGAGGAGTGGGGCAGTCTCTGGAGGAGCTGCTCCTGCCGGCATGAAGGTAGGAAAGGAGACTTAGGGGTAAGCAGGCCTCCAGGCCACGTTCAATCAGACAGGCAGGGACCTGAGGTGCCCTCTTCCCTCTGGCCCTTCTCACATTCGACTCTTGACCATAGGGATGTAGACTCTGACCCAGGCCATGGCCTGCTCAGGCAGGGCCAGACGCTATTCTCTGAGCCCAACGGCTATGCTGCCTCCATTATAGCCAGGCCTCTGGGCCACCAGGGGAGGACATCTCTCTCCTATTACTACAAGTCACCCCAGCTGAACGCCCAAGGTGAACGTGGCAGACAGCCAGAGGGGAGCTGCCACAGAGGTGAGGGGCACAGGCTCTGGCCCAGGCTGCCTGGAGACAATTCCAGACTTCATACCAGGTGACACTGGGATTATATTCAATCCATGGGCCTCAGTTTTCTCATCCGTGAAGCGGGCTTGGTGCAGAGGTTCAGAGCAATGCCAGACACACAGTCAGCCTTTGAAAAGTTCACTACAGGGATGTTGTTGGGAAAATGTGCAAACCGTGGACTTCTCGCTGTGCAGGTCACCTGAGCTCCCTCCCAGCATAAATGCATACTCTGACACAAACAAGGACACACCCAGGACAGCTGCCAAAAACAGCCTGGAAGTGGACCACCCGGCAGTGATTCCAGGCTTCCCTCTGGGAACTCAAACCTAGTCACCCACACAGCAGCAAGGCCACTTGCCCCGTCCTGGTCACAGCATCTCAGCTGATCACGCAAGTGAGGACAACGCAAACGTTTACTTGTCACACAACAGCACAGGAAGCAGCCACATGCTTGTCCCCTGCCCTGTCCCTGCAGGTTCCTGATAAATGTCTCCTGGAGGAAGAAGGGACCAGTCTGATGTGGTATTTCAGTGTGGTGCAGCCGGCACTGGTGGCTGGCTTGTCTGTCTTCTTGGGTTCCAGGTGTCCCTATCAGTAACAGCAACACTGACAATGGTGAAGACACAGCAATGCCGTGGGCACAGCCTCCCCAGGCCTGTGCCTGGCCGCGCACCAAGTCTTCCAACACGGAGCAGGTGCAGGCCCATTCCAGAAGTGCACCCCAAAGCCCCAGCCCACCCCTCCCATCTGGTGTGCCCTTCACCTCTCACTTTGCACTAAACTAGACAGCTCCTCCTGTCCACCCAGCGCCTGCCCCTACCCATCAAAGAGATCTGGAGGTCTAGGGTAGGGGGCATCTGTCCTTGCTTAGTGCCCAAGGTGAGGTGTACCCCCAAAACCCAAGAACAAACTCCTCAAGGAACAAGCAGCAAAAAGAATCAGCACACAACTGTGGGAGTCTGACAGTTATCTGAGTCTTGTGCCAAAGCCCGTGTTAGATGCACCAGGGGGTCAAACTACCCAGAGACGCCTGGGAGTTGGAGGTTGTGTGGGTACAGCAGTAAGTGCTATGTGGGTACAGCAGGGGGAGTTGTCTGTGGGTCCCACGGGGAGTGTGGGGCATGATAAGCTGTGTCCCAGCCTCCAAGGAATGCAATGATCCAGGTGGCAAGTGTGAGGGACAGCCAGAGTTGGCTGGCACAGAGGGAGGAGGAGGTGTGAGCCAGGCCAGGGCCCAGGGGACCCCCATGGGGACTCGGGGCCTGAGGAAGGTCTGAAGAAGGGACAAGTACCTGGCAGACAGGCAGGGGACCATCTGGTAGGTCCCACTGAAGCTCTCTGCAGATTCTATGGCTCCTGTACCCATCAGGCGACCCACTCAAGACGGCTTCCTGGAGGGCTCTGGATGATGCCTCCGTGGGGTGAGGTCACCCACCCAACCAACCACCCATTGTCCATCCACTGACCCACCATTCTGGATACGCTGTGCCCCCACCCAGCCCTGAGCCTGCCCTGCCCCCAGCACATCTTGGTCTGCCCAGGTCAGCTTCATTCTGGGTCCCGTGTCATGTGTGTTTCTCCAAAATTCCCATGTTGAAACCTGCCCCCCAGTGTGACAGACCCACAGAAAGCCAAGCAGCCCAGGCCCCTGCACCCTTCCCATGGCTAAGGACTGGAGGTCATCCCCCAAGCCGTGGTCAGCCTCCCTCTGGCAGCACCACATGGCGGGCTGGGGAGCTGGACTTTTCCAGCCTTGAGACCACAGACAACCTCCTCCCACTCTGTAACTGAGGATAACAACACAAATGTGACTCTTGTGTGACTATCATGAGAATTAAAATAATTAATACTGGTTAGTGGCGTAAAACAGCACCATTTGAACAGCAGATGGAATGCAGAGATGATACCTGAAGGAGATAACATCGTTGCCCAGGTGAGCTTGTTTCAGGAACAAGAAAACAGATCAGTATAATTCACGTTTGCAGAACAGGGGAAATCTACCTAATTATCTCTGATAGTTGAAGGATTGGATCTCAGTTTTAATAAATGTTTTATCAAAACACATCAGACACAACAATACGGATTCATAATGAAATTTGGTAAGTTAGGAATAAAAGTGAATTGGGTCTGCTGGTGCAGCAGTTAAAGGCATATTGCTGCAGAAAACATCAGCCTCCGAAACTAAGTGGCCTAGGATGCTGAAGACCACTGCTCTCAGCGCAAGTAGGTGACTGTGTTTAAGTGGAGGGTCACAGGGCACAACGGCTTGTGCGAGGGTCTGGCAGGTGGCAGGGGCTCACGGTTTTCTCCCAGGCATTCTCCCATCCCCAAGAGACCAGACTTGTTCCCTGACACAGCAACCTCAGGTTAGATCTCCAGGGAAACACCTACAGCTGCAAGGCTTCCTGAGGTCGGCTGCAACTCAGCCAGCACCACCACCGCCAGCAAAATCTACAGGTGGAAGCACAGGTCCAGATTCTAGAGGAGGGGAAAGGGGACCCCACCTGTAGGTGGGCAGGCTGCACTCTCAACCCTGCTGTTCCTGACCTCACCTGGTGAGGACTGCAGGATCCACAGGTGCTCAACCACCTTGCCCTTCTGGAGCTGGGATCACGTGTTAGTCCCAAAGGTCACACATCC